CTGAAGATTTCAATGTTTACATAAGAATAGCCGAAGATTTGAACTGAAGACCTTTATCAGGTTATAACTCCAGGAAGTCGTCTAAGAGGTGGATTTAAACGCAGGACGTCTGACCTTTGAAGGCCAATGCCCTCCCTGGTCACCTTTCCATGCTCTGGTTACTAGCTCTTTAGGGGGTGCTTGAGTGATAGGATTTAGCTTTTTACATGATGTAATAATCAGTTAAGAACATAAACAAGTGTAGAAATGGCTCAACATTTTGGTAAAAACTTTATTTATTTCAGTATTTTCTGTGCAATGAAAAATACCTGTACTATTTTAATCACTTGGAACCAACTTTCTCATCACCTGACAGTGGTACAGATGTCACAGTTTGAATTTCTATGGGAAATTAATCCCTTATAGCAATATCAACTGATTTTAAAAACTAATAATTTAACAGTTCATGAAAGTGTAAAGACTTGGATGCTTCACAAAAGTAAGAACGAGTTTAGCTTTGGACAAAAACACTTATGTTATATTAAATATAAGAAGTTAACCTCTTGTTCCAGAACAGAAAGCAACTACCAGCATGAACCGCTTAACATAAATTCATTTTTGTTCTCCGCGCAAAAGTGTGGGCCATGTTTAATGCATACAAGTTATAGTAAGATAACGTCTATTGGTTGCATCCGTAAATTCATTAAGAGGAGATAGCCTCCCTTGCAATCGATTACTGCTAGAAAATCCTGCGTAGGAAAAAAGATGGCGACTGGGACATTTACCCATAATGCCTAGCGTACGAAAACTCTAAAAACATAAAAATAAACGGAAAAGTTCTAAAATCGTCAAACATAGCATGCACAATGTCTTTAGGATAGGTACGAATATTGCAAAACTATGGTTTTCCTTGTGCCTAATGGCCTGTGTAAGGTTCGCGTGGTATTGTGATAAAATGTGTAGCCACCATCCGCTTTTCCCATGGAGGATTGGATTTTTTAATTCTCATTTGCATTTTATAGCACCTTGTTTGATGCGTACTAAAACTTGGAATTTTGAGAATACGCAAGTTCTCTCACAAAGTGCATATTAGATACATGCCGGGTGGTGTTCATATATCAGTGAGGATACTGAATCATTTTGTCTTCTTGTAGTAAGTAGTCTAATCTAGTTGCGAATACGTGCTAGCTGTTAACGGACAATGTTCAGTTACTTGGAAGTAAAATGCATCCAAAAAGAGCACAACATCTCAGCACGATTGAGAGATGTTACGAAAAAATTAAAAAGAAAAGTTTATTGTATGCGTGAAATACTAATAATAATTTGACTCGATGCCATCTTGTCAGAGGCAAGATGAGCGTCTCTATACTGCGGACCGTGGAGTGATGAATGTGCCTAGAAGTTTGCTAAATTTCACAAACAATATAGCACTACGATTGGAAATAAGCCTTTTTCTGAGTCAATTGTCATGTTTACAGCAACAGCAACTGCTGTTTAAACTTCGACACGACAGAGTAGTATTTAAAGCTCACACAAGAGCTGTCAGCATGAAAATGATTTTTTAAATCCCTTTAGAGACAGGTTACTTCAGCCTGTTACGTTTTCAAAGGGTTTATTCAGGCAATCTCCCAGTTAGGAGAAAACAATCTCGTCCCCAGTTCATCTCTTGCCCTCATCATACACAACGTCCCGTTGTTGCAGCAATTCGCTCCCATACCCAGAGGCACTCTCGTCTCCGCTCGGTTCGTCTCCAGATCCTTCTGGTCGCACAGGAGTCTCAGACTTTTTAAACGTTTCGTTTACTTCCGCCTGCTGTGATGGCGCTGTGCTTGCCGGAAACGTCTCTGTTATGACGTCCGTTGCGCCCTCCGGTTGGGTGAATTCCTCAGTGATGTCATTTCCGGGTGTTGAGCCATTATGAGTATCAATTGGAGTAACGGATGCTTGTGAGGTAGCAGTAGTGACAGGTTGAGTATTTTCGTGTTCTTGAACAGTAATTTCCGGTACAGAAGTGGAAGACGACGATGAAGACGTAGCAGTGGAAACTGAGGAAGATGAACCCATTCCTACAGCGCCACCAGTTATGACTTCATTAACTGATTGGCTGCTTTCTGAGCCGCTGTCTACATTTGGATAATATGTTCGTGGCGTGCACCTATCAAAGTAACAAGACATAACACGTGTTGTGATTGGCTGAAATTCATTTAACATAACCTATAGTTATCTCGAGCGACTATTTCATAAAGGCAACAGAAAGCAGTTTTCTTGTATCAATACCTTGAAAACGGTCGTGTATGTTTGGGAGTATAATAGACAGCAGGGGAAATTCATGTTCTACTGTTGAACCGTTGAAAATCAACTCGTACTACCGCAGCTATATAAAAACGCGAAAAATGATGTCATTATATGGGTTTCTTAATTTAAGTAGAAGTGCAGACCTTGAGATGGCAAAAAAACCAAACATGATGTTAGGTATTTTCTATTAAGGAGCACAACAATCTATAAATCATGTCACATGTGTCAAAAAAATTATCACAATCCCATCTTAATTTTCCTCAGCCAGGGGTAGACTGCAACCATTCATGTATCGCTCTTTTGAGAAGACAATTTCCTGGAACTAGCCTACTGATATTCAGGGTCATTTAGCACTGTGGCAACAACAATCACATGATTCTTTGGCAACATTGAAGAGGTAAGTGTTACGTCGCTCCGGAAAAAGTGGTCCACACCCAGCATCTTATGTGTAAGATTTTAAACGAGTCTACGCGGAAACAAACTGACCTGAATTTAATGTCCAAGTATTTGTACACATTGGGGCAGATTGTTGTTCCAGCCTTAGCCAGTAAGTCATTGTTTGCTGCCACTTCACAAGTGTGTTCTCCTTCACACAGTCCTCTGATCTGAGCATTGATCTGTGTTTCTTGTTCCTGGCACATTGTGCTTGATGGAATGCTTGGATGCACGCAGATGGAGGGATCTTTGCGACCGTACATCGTTTCCACCACAGTTATTTCATCGAAAATGCTCGGACATGACACAAATGCCTTCTGACCTTCACACACAATGAGATTGTGCTGGAAACAAATTAAAAGCGACAAAAGCATGGCAGAAGTTACATTGTATTATTTCATTGTATATCAATCTTTTCTGGATTGGATCACGTCGCGAAGAAAAGCACAGGAGGCGTCGAGCAAACTGTGCTATTTTTTGTTCCCATGATTATCAAAAATATCTGAATTATAAATGACCTTTCAAGAAACAGTAAGAGGGCCCTGTGGTGAAACATCGTAGTTGTATTCCAGTTTGCCCTGCAACAACGCGAGTCTCACAGATCGAACTGGGCATTATTTCCCTCTTCATCCACAGCCCAACTAATTTGGCAGGTCCTTGGCCTCAAATCAGTTGGTTCCTCTTTGGTGTGGCACACAATACAGACCCAAATGGAGCTTACGCACGCTTCGTGGGTGCAACCATTAAAAACTTATTTTACAAAGTTGGCCTTCTAGATCGACCGGTTGATCGGTCATTCGATCAAAAAGCAACGAAACTCCAAAGGCTTACATGACAAATTAAACCTTTGTTAAATTTCATTTTTTTAATAGACCAAGTACCAAAACTGGGTCTATTAGCCTCACATTCAAGTAGAGCTTCAATCAATCAGTTAGAGCTAATTTGCGTTAAACGCATTCACGTGGGCAGATATAATGTACCAAGACACAGGTTGCGAATGATCATAGTTATGATATAGTTATTAAAGCCTGAGGTGTTTTTTAGGAGGTGGGGGAAGGCTTTTTTGCATCAGTTTTAGTTCTGTTGTTACTTCATAATGAATGATTTACTTTATCCATCGCAGGTTTTACTGAAAAAGCTATAAGACTGACTCTTACTCGATTGTTTCTCTTTAAGATTCCAGGAACAATATAGAGATAACTATAAACTTAACAATATTAGATTTTACCCTAGCAAGAAAGCCGTTTAGTTTAGTTCGTTAGAGTTTCTGCGTCCCTGTTGCAGCTTTGCTCCTCCGTACAGGTTTACTTGTTAGATACCACACGTTTTGTAAAACTTAGAAAAGATTAAATATCATCTTACCACTTTCATAGCACCCGGTGGTTCAGCGCTCTTGGATGAGCTGGGATTTGGGGCTCCCTGGATTTCTGAGGAGGGGTCAACATTTGTTAACTTCAAGGAAACAACTCATAGATTTCGAGTGACCAGGGCTATAAGAGAGCCGGCATCATGTAAAAATAGTTAAACATCTAAAGCGAATGCACTGTGTATGTTTTTTTTTTTAGCTTTATTCACTTAACGCAGTCATAGAAGTCAATTCAGTCCCTATTTTGTTTAACTGTCATTTTCTAGATTATTTTATAAAACCCAAGTGTCTTGGTTCAAGATGGTTGTTTGCGTTTTGCAAATGCAACTTGACGATAACAGTCTGTCCACCAGCAGTTAACGACAAGTTGAACTAACAAGAAGTTTATCAAGCGTAGACAGATAATGGAATCCAAAACTTAAGTCCTGTTCAAACATAGACCTTAGATTTACGGTAGAGGGGCAAAATTAGTTAACTAGACGATAAATATTTGCCTGCCGAGATGGGATGGCCAAAAAACACTTTTGTTTACAAAAGCAACCTTCGCAGAAGAAAAATATTTATCGTTGAGAAATTCTTACCATGTAAACAGCAAACCCACACTATTACTAAAGATATTGTTGACCAGCTACCATCCATGAGGGGATTAAAGCCGATTTATGCCGAGCTTTGCGGCAACAAAATAGCAAACACGAGTTTCAGAAGAGGCGGCAAACGTTTTTTGCTCAGTTCGGGCAGAATCTGGAGATGGATTACATCAGTTAATTCGCTTGTGAAGAAAACAAATCTATAACTGGTATAATGCATTATTAAACGATTTCGAAGCGTTTGCCTCTTGTGAGAAGGATGAAGACGTTAATTGTTGTATAAGATACGGCGAACTGAGGTATCAATCGAGCCAGTGTTTTAAATGCACTCGGCTTGGCCTCATACAATTAAACTTTTTGTCACTGTACGTACATGACTCGCCAAAAATGTCGATAAGTCAATATCGTTTCGGCTGTTGGGCAATAAGATAGGGAAAACACACAAAGGATCAAATTTTGCTTTACTTTAAATTAAAGCAATAAATATTCCCGCGGTTATGTTAAAGCACCAAGGTTAATCTCTCGTATTCCACTGAAGCGGAGCTGTGCGGTGAAGAAGTTCAATGAGAAAATTTCTTGTAGTAAATAATGGCCCATCTGTTTGTCGGTTGTCGTTGTCTATAAAAATGTTGAAGTTGAACACCAGCAAGATTAATCAACTAGACGATTTCGGCCAATTATCGGTAGTTTTCAATAAAGAAGGCCAGGTTAACACTTTCGTCAGTCAAAGAGATCCAGATGGAAAGGTGAATGGTACCCCAAACCCCGTTTTTTTGTCCTAAATATCCTCTATTCCGTTAACTAAAATGAACAATTTTTCCACTCGATATCCCTTCTCATCTGATCTATCCCTAATCCCATAAATGTTTCCCCAAATATCCTGTATCCAGTTAAATATTAACCTTAACATCCCGTATCCCGAAAATTCTTAACATGGCCTCATTGAAATGTTTAGCCATTTGTCACCCGTTAGCCAAAATTATGTCTTACCCCGGTCTAGCAAGAATTCCACACGCAGGCTTTGTTCTTTCATGATGAATGCAAACACATTACATTTGCAAAAACTCATTCCTCCTACACTCTGTGACAACGGGTTTTGCCGCTCCGAACTCGTTGAGAGGCCTATAAATAACGTCAACTGGGAATTAGCTCGGAGAAACTCACTTGCTGCGAGAAAGGAACTTGTCAGCTGTTCCAAAGTACCAACTAGATCTGTTACTGGAATATGAAAACTTCTAGAACTTAATCTTCAAGCATTTATTCTAGTCTCATGTCGTAAATCGCCGGTGTAAATCGTAGATGCACTTCATATTACAGGGATAAGAGCACTCTATTTGTATACTAAAGAAATTCTTGATTGCATAATCTTAGATATAATTGAAAGAACGCTGAATAAAGTCAGCTTGAAACCTAAAAGTAGCCTGAAAAACAGCATAATGAATAAAGCCAGCTTGAAGCCTGAATAAATTCAGCTGATGAATGGTGATCTAAACAAATCTAGTTTCCAATGTGCATTGCAGAATGTATGCTTAGCCTAGAAAGCAGTGT